GTGATCTTTCATGCCGGCCGCCTCGTCCGCCGCCCCAACCCCTCAACAGCCCTCCTCATCCTCCTCTGGATGCCGTTCGGAATCATCGCTGCCTTTATCCGCATCACCGTAGGCCTCATCGTCCCCATGTCCTTCATCCCTTACATGATCCGCCCATTCGGTGGAAAAGTCATCGTCCGTGGCCGCCCTCCCCCTCCCTCCTACCCCTCTGCCTCCCGCGGTAGCGGCGTCCTTTTCGTCTGCACCCACCGAACCCTCATGGACCCAGTCGTACTCTCCATGGTCCTCGGCCGTCAGGTCCCAGCCGTCACCTATTCCATATCTCGCCTCTCCGAAATCCTCTCCCCAATTCCAACAGTCCGGCTCAGCCGTGACCGCCGCATCGACTCAGCGATGATCAGTGCTGAGCTTGAGAAGGGGGATTTGGTGGTCTGCCCGGAAGGGACCACCTGTCGCGAACCGTTCCTCCTACGATTCTCCGCTCTGTTCGCGGAGCTAACCGATCGCATAGTCCCGGTGGCGATGAACTACAGGGTGGGGTTTTTCCACGCGACGACGGCGAGAGGGTGGAAGGCGATGGACCCAATATTCTTCTTAATGAACCCGAGGCCGGTTTACGAGGTGACGTTCTTGAACCAGCTGCCGGCGGAGGCAACGTGCTCGGCCGGAAAGAGTCCGCACGATGTGGCAAACTACGTGCAGAGGATACTGGCGGCGACGCTAGGATTCGAATGCACCAACTTTACTCGGAAGGATAAGTACAGAATGCTGGCCGGAAACGACGGAACGGTGTCGACGACGATTATTACGGCGGGGGCGCCCCTTGGGGGGGGGGATTGGTGGAGAGGGTAGGAGACGCGCTGGGATTTCTGCTGCATTAGATCGAGATTACTGGAGGTTGATGGTGCTGTTTGGTTGTGGAGTTTGCGACTTTGTATGGGTTAAAAACTGTTGCCTTCATTTCTTTTGATGTTGATAATTTATTTATTTTTAGTGCTGTGTGGATATAAATGAAGGATCGGACTACGCGTCCGGTATGAGATGTGAGATACATGATCTGACTGCTAGAGATGCGAGTAAAACAATTGTGAATTTCTCTTAGAAATTCTCTTGAAAAAAAAAATCAAGAATTTAAATGTATTTTAAATCAATTATAATATGATATAGATTCTGCCCATTTATATTTTGGAGCCACGTTCTCGAGTTTTTTTTTTTTTGAGTTGCCATTATATATATGTGTATACTTATGGGTGTAAACGAACCGAACACGAAGGAACAGAACTTGTGTTCATATTTGGTTAGTTTGAAATTTAGTTTGTTTGAAATAAACTCGTGCTTGAAATTGTTCGTGAAGTCACTGTTCGTGTTTGTTTCTTAACGAATAAGCAGAACACGAGTCGAACACGAGTTGTTCGCGAACGACGAGCCAATTTGACATCTCTAATATTAATATATTCAAATAATATATTATATTTATTATATGACTTATCTTATATAAATATATAATATCTAGATGAGTTGATTACTAATATAATATATTAATATATTATTATAATTAATTTATTATATATTATAATTTATAAAATTTAATTTTTAAAAAAAATCGTAAATTTTTTATATATAATTATTTTTATTATTTTTATTTCGAACAATAACGACTCGAACACATCATTGTTCGTGTTTGGTTTGTTTAACTAACCGAGCGAAATAAATTTGATCACATTCACCTCGTTTGCTTATGGAACGAATTCAGCATGAACTCATTGACGAACCGAACACGAACTGTTCGCGAACAACGAGCTTTTTTGACAATCCTATGTATACTCATAGCAAGGCATTAAGGTAATGATCGATGGTGGTGCCAGGGAGTGGATGGTGCGAGCACTCGCCATGTTTTAATATCATATATTGAAAAACTAGCTCCAACGAATTTACATGCTAAATAAAAATGAAAAAATAACTTTATTTTTTTTTTAATAAAAATTATTTAAAGTAGTCTTAAAAATTGGAGATAAATGTTTTAATTCAAATACTTGCAACTCAAGGATTTTTGATTTTGTCGCCCGTATCTTTAAATCCGATGATGATGAAATAAATGATATAAAAGAATATGAAAAAACTTATATATCATAAATTTAGTTAGAATGAATGTAAAAATAGGTTTTTAAAAAAAATGTAAGAAAATGAGTAATAATTACAATTAATATCACACTTAGCACAAGAGTAAGGTGCAAAAATTATTTTATATATGGTTGCATAAAAATTTCTCAATGAGAGAATGCTAAACTGTTCTAGTTGGCTAAATTTTAAGAAAGATCGTGTATAAATTTAAATTAAGCAAGAAGATCGCTAGTTAAAAATTTTATTTGAAAGGGAGCGAAAACAGTTAAATTCTGAGGTTTTCATAAAGCCCAAGTGCTTGGGTTCCCATTAAAACACCCATGCATTAGGAGTTTCCATTGATTTGAGTTATTATTATTATTATTATCATTATATTTATTTCCTTATATAATATGAAAGTGCTTAGTATGATTGTACATATAAAAAAGTGCTAGCGTTCATTCTAAAAGAATCTAACGATCCAAAAACAATAAAGTATGATAAATGCAGGCCCACCGACATATGACCAAGAGACTCACTTATCCAATCAGATGCAGTCGTCCAAGCCCAACAAGAAAGACCAAAGTCAACTGAGTCACGAAGACAACCGAATGACATGAATTCAAGCTGTTAGGTAAAGAACAAGCTAAAGAGATATTCAAGCCAACAATTATAAGAAAACAAATAAAAGGCAACAACCTACTTTCTGATAGATATAATCTTAGAATGAATTTAGTTTTGCAATATCATCAACTACCCCATAAATGCCCCCAATGCTCCTCATCAAAGATCAAGAATTAACAATACAACAAAGGGTCTTATATTCTTCACTCGGGCTCTTCTCGTTGAAGAGCGATCCACCTATTAGGCTACGATTATTCGCTCCCTTCTCGATAATCCAGTGTCGCTCTACCGACACAAGTTTCTCACCAGGGAGTGAGAGTCGAAAGCCAAACAAGACCAACAACTAATTTGTAATGTCGATTAATCCTAGCAGACCGAAACAGTCATGTCAACCTAAAGCCAATCATGACAAGCTGATCGACAACGCCACTACTCATGTCAATCTGAAGTCAATCGAGCTCAGTCTGTAAAAGATGTCGAATAGGCTCAACCAATTAAACTGGCCTTACTAACTCGAAGTCATACTGGCTCGACTAACAAAGTTAAATATTACTCAAATGATATGCTCATACATCAAAATACGTTGAATGCTCTATACAATCCACATTAAAGTGGGATAAAAATTGTAAAATCATCATATTATACTCTCTCCCCTAAAAAGAAGATCATTTTATGAGAATAGACACGATATACATGATTTATTATTGTTCGTTACTATTCCTTACTCTCTCACGCTCTCTGTCTCTCTCTACCTCTCTCTCTCTCTCCTTGTTAGTGCTCTATTCCATGAGGTGTAATGCATAGATAAATTAAGATTCAATATCCTAAAAGGTGTCGTGAGTGTGGATCATAAAACAAATAAGGAGAGAAGTAGCACATCGAGAAAAAACTCACATTAGAGACATCGGTAATATGAAGTGCATCAGAGAGTTCGTTAATTAGCGATCTAAGAGCTGAAGGATCAAATGTTTGATAACATCTAAGAGGCATTGGCTCAAAAAAGAGAGCAACATCTACGAGAAGAAGGGATGGTGCACGCTAATCACATAGAAATAGGGCATTTTTTTAAGGACCAAACATCATCGGTTATCTAGAGAAATACCTTCACCTTTGAAAATTTTATAGCTTATCAACTATTTTATGCTCACAACAAAATGTTTGTTGGTAATTTTAAAACCAATTGTTATTTTGACGGCATAAACATTTTGACCAATACCCGATAATTTTATGTTGTAGCTTTTTTGAGAAATTTAAAATGGTCAATTTTTTTCGGTTCATATAATCGGTGATTAATTTCATCGACTTTAGTGACAAGTTCCACGTCAAAAAAGTGTTGGCCTAGCCACTTTTTCTGATGCAGGTTTACATTCAATTATCTGTTGCTAATGTGTCAGTTTTGATAACCGATGAAAAAGCTTTCGGAAAAGTGTCGCGACCGCTAATTACTTTTGACATAGGTAAGTCATCGACTTAATGTCCCTTATGTCTCAATGATTAAATCCATCAGTTGTTCGTTGGTTATGGCAACTAATGTGTTAAAGGTAGTTGTCAAACTGCAGGTAGGTTGTCAGAAACCTGCACTATCAGTAAAAAAAAATATATTCTTCCTTTCATCATTACATTACCTCACATGTTATCGCAACATTTAATTTATAATACCAAGCATTTAACAAACTATAATAGCATTCAAACATTATCAAATAACAAAATAAATAAAATACATTTAATCTAAGATAAATACATCACTGTTCACAGAAAAAAATGAATGCCTAAATATACATCAAAATCATAGAAAAGGAAAAATATCACTCTAATTCTCCTCCTCTATCTCCTCATCCTCATCGTCCTCCGCCTCTTCCTCCTCAAATACTACCTTTCGGCAATGTCGAAACAAATCTAACTCGACTTTTAGCTTGACCTCCACGTTTGTCTCCAGCTTCGACTTCATCTGAGTGAAGTAGGCCACAATCTTGGCAACGAATGTGGCAAAATGCCTGGAGACCTCCTCTTCTTAAGCGGTAGATGTAGAAGTTGCAAATGTACTTCAGGAGTGGTGAGCATCGTAAGCAAATGCCTGTGATCCGAGCTCTTAGACTTGGTCTTTCTTCTTCCCTTAGCAGCCTCCCTATACAGGTCATACTTAGAAGGATCACAATCACAAATCATAATACTGTTTGATGTCCGGGATAGGTAGAAAAAAAATAGTTACATACAGTAAGAGCTAACATGTATTAACTTTAAACTAGTTTAGCTCATGAATTCTTGGGTCGCATAGGATCTATTATAGATTCATGGTTGGTCGGAACTCCTATGAGTGTGCTCATATACATCGGCAGTGGAGGACTCCCATCACATTGTCACAGCCTATCCATATAACAAAGTAATTAGAATATGTGCTAGATTTATAGAAAATTTTAAAAAAGGAATGAAATCTTACCAGCCTTTGCTTGTATTATGTATGCAGGAGGGCCCACCAGTGTACATAGAGGTCCTCATGTTCTATAGTCTGATTGCCTATTTTGCTCCCTGTTCCCGTTGTTTATGGTATTCTATTTAATCTCAGGCCTTGAGCAGCGTACCAAAAAATATTATTTCGTGGCACTGTCATGATCTACGCACATTGCCAAACATGTCCCATAGGGGATCATTTCACTAGCAATCGAAGTTACGTCAGATTTGTGTCTCATGATCAGGGTGTCAAGAGAATTATTTCTGCAAAATTATAGGAATTATATTAGTTTGATAAATAAAAAAAATTAACTTAAGATATTTGTGAATGATACATACTAAAAACTTCTTGGTCTAGATTTGGGGCGGGGGGGGGGGTGGGGGTGGGTGACCAAATAAAACAAATTGTTATTTTTCAATTGAATTAAGAAAAATAAAAGATTACTGTCAATTTCTTAAAAAAATTTATGTGTTACCAACAGGCTTGAAACGACAGGTTTTGTATGTTGACTCTTGCTCAGTAGAGGTGGCGTGAGCCTGTGCTAAAGCAAACCCTACTATAGTCGAGGTGGATGTAGGGGTCAGAGTAGGGGTGACGGAAGGGATCGAGGTTGGAGTAGATGTAATAATAAGGGTGAGAAT